ACTGATTATATAAATATATTTATATTAACTTTAGAATTTACTGGATATTCTTTATTTCATAAGCATCCCACAAATTTCTAAGAAACAAATTTTAGGCATATTTACTTAATTTTTAAAATGATCGGCAAACAGATCAGCCCCATCATTTTGAATTTTGAAAAACCAATGACAGATTCGTAATATGGCTTAAATGAGAGCTCAAACCCTCAACTTTAACATCCAAAATCAAAAAACCATGTAGAAATAACTGAAAATTGTTAGGAACAACTTTTTACCGAATGCGCGTAAAACAGCTATTATTTTAGCGATCATATAGGGTAAATTGGTAAAATGTTGTTCCCCACAATTTTGAGTTATTTCTGAATGGTTTTTTGCTTTTGGGTGTTAAAGCTTAGGGTTTGACCTCTCATTTAAACAATATTTGAGCTTTTTATTACGTCGCGTTCTTTTTTTATTGTGCTTCAAAAAGTGACATAAAAGCCATTTTTGGCACTTTGACCCCGTTTTCTTAAAATTGAGACGTGATGAGACAATTTCACTTACAGATTCGTGATCTACGTCAAAAATCCTGTAAGATTCACTTTCGTTTATTCTTGTAGCAAGAAAAAAACCTTAATTTTGTCGACCAGTGTTATCTTAAGAAAAACACCTGACTCTAAACCAAAGAGTTCAATCGATATCTAATAGATGTCACTAATTGCTGATAAAGTCGAACTCTTTCATAATAAAAATTCCTAATCAGCATATAATTTCCTGCATTCACTATACAGCTAGTGTATGGACTTGATATGAGAATAAAAGAAGATTGTACGTCCAGGCTGTGTTGGCAAGGTGCATTGGTAGGCTTAAGTCCCGCGATAGGCAGCTATTAACTGGGGTTCGAGTCCTCACAGATGCACAGTGCAGTCGTTCCCAAAGTTTATTTTTTCAGCTCAAAAATTCAAAAATATAATTATTTACCGACAACCATATCGGAATAATTATCTTAAGGAAAACACCTGACTCTAAACCAAAGAATTCATTCGACATCTAATAGATGTCACACGGAAAAAAATTTCTTATAGAAAACACAAACTTTTTTGTAAAATATACAAATAGGTTAAGTTGTGCTTTGTACAGGCGAGTTTTGTGTTTCCAACAAGCTGGTTTGGGTGTAGCACAAACCAATCTGTAGTAACACCAAGAAATTCACGCATGCGCAAGAAAACTAAAGTGATCGTCAGCTGCGTGAATGTTTATAACCTGTTGAGTTTACATCATATTTGATATTATTTTCCTTTTTTTATGAAAGTGATGTTTTTTAAAGTTGAAATGTGCCAATAATATAATCATGGACAAATTCGTGGAAACAGCATTAATAAAATGGAAGTTATCCCATTTGCTCGAAGCATTTAAAAGTAAGTATCTTTTATAGTGTAGATAACATAACCTGAAAAACACACATGTATTTTATTTGAGTAATTAAACATTATCTTTTGTTTTTGTACATTGGTCTAATTAAATTAAATTTTTTGTAGAGCATAAAATTAATTCTGAAAATTTATTTTATTTATCGGAACGACATATTAATACTTTGATACCGGAAATCGGCGATCAATGTATTTTCATAAAGAATCGAGAAATTTTAGAAAAAGATTCTGAAAAAACAAATTGTGATATTTCGTCGAATTCTGTTGGTGAAAACAGTGCTTTAGAAGATTCCGTATCCGATCGTTTTTCTTTAGAGAAAGCAATTGACAATAGTTCGATGCTTTTAGATACTAATCTTCTTGATAAAAGTATTACCGAAAATATTAACGATTCTTCATTATTCGACTCACATTTAGAATCTGATAGGGAAGAAAATTTGATCGTGAATCCAACAATCGCAAGTTCGGAAAAAAATGCACAATTACCAAGTAAAATTTTTTGTTTACCCCTAACACTTCAAGTGGTTTAATTATTTTTATTGAAGAATTTGAATTAATTTTTTGTAATCGTATTTAATATAATATAATAAAATTGTTTATTTTTGTCGTACAATCAAATTAAAGTTTTATGCAAAATTTGAAAAAAAAATTCAATTTTGTATAAAACTTCAATTTAAAATAAACAATTCTTTTAATTTTATTGGTATGTGGTTTTTAGATTCAATGCTACAGCTTTTAAATTCAAGCTTTCGAGGAAGAATAGTTTTAGCCTATTATAAGTGCAAAACAGAAGTTTTGTATAGCGAACTTAGTGCGATAATAATTGAAAATGAATTTGAAAACAGCTCAGATTTATGTTACAAGTAAGGATTTGGAATCAAATGAAAAGTGAAAACAAGAGATAAAACTTTTGTTTTAAAAATATACTTTTTTAAAAAATAGATTTTGATAAAGCTTACACACATTTTTTAAAATTATTTTGAATATTTTTATAACTAATTACTCAATTTAATTTGCTGTAAACGTTTTAAACAAAACAGTTTGTATTCAATTAGTTTAGAAAAAATGTCAAAATTTTATTAATACAATTTATTAATTAATTTTTTTGATTAACAGGATAACACAAGACAGATTTGTTGCTTTAAGTAAAGAAATTAAAGCTATTTTTCCAACTGAATTAATCGAAACTTGGTATACAGCTTTAACGAAAGGTACTGATGGAACCAAAATTTGTCCTAGAGGCAAATTATATAATGCTTACAATGAAAAACGAAGAATTTTAAATGACATCAATTTTATTAACAAAGACTTAAAAAGAAAAAAAAGTGACGCCACTCAAGAAGGTAAACTTGTTTTTCATGTATTTATCTACAGTAAAATATATAACACAATGTTTAATATATTGATTTTTTTTAGAATCATTGGAGAGTGACGGTATAAATTTTCTAAAGAATCATATAGAGCCAGAAAATTTAATCCTTGCGGCATGGATTTCCTCTAGGGAAGCTCGCTTGAATTATAAAGATTTTAGCATTGATGACTATTATAATGAATTTAAATGCCTACAAGGAAATAACGGTCTCACATTGGTAAATAAAATATTTTTTTATAAACACAGTAAAATCTATATATGTATTTTCTCTCTATATTAAAATTTAATAACTTATTGTTCATAGCTTCTAAACGATTTTGATGCCATTCATGCTATTAATAGTGGAAAATTTCTTTTAAATTAGCCAACAGTAGCAAAAAAAATTATTACACTTTCAAAAAAAAGGTTGCTAAATCGAAGCAAAATGCGGAACTTTTTGAAGTATTAGAAGAACACAAAAATTTGATCAACGAAGGTAACAACTACAAAATTTTGTATCTTTGTATCATTATCATCCTTTTATTTTATTGTGAAATATATAATGAAAAATTTAAACATTTTATTAAATGAAACTGATTTTTTTTACTAATATAGGTAAGGTAGAGTTAATTGCGTTAATTGTTTTGCCTTATTGGATGTATCATATCGTAAGCGGAAAAAAAGTAGCAGTTGGACTCCTACCAAAAAAGATATTGTCGATTCATTTGTGCTCCACATTAAGGTAAAAAGTTACAGCAATTATACACGCTAGAACAATTTTTCTCTTACAAATCTTTAAAAAATTATTCGATATTATATAAATGTTTGTTTTCAGACATACGAGGAATTAACACCTTACCAGGATAAGAAAAGAGCCATTTACTTTGAGGAAAAATTAACTTTTCAACCATATCCAGTTCTGTGTGGAGCTTTAGATCAAGTTCATTTTTCATTCGTCATTATCAATGACATACAGTATTCAGTCGATTCGCCTCTACACGCAGTAGATGCTTGTTTTGAATCATTTTTTGCACTCAATGCGCACTATTCGGTAGAAAGCAGTAGCTGTTGGATCTTTCTTCAGAAATTTGTTTTTAATATTCCTGTTGTAAAAAAGGACTCAGCAGTGAATAAGCTCATTACACAATTGCAGTGAAATTTAAGCATTCAGTTAAAAAACCGAATTTACGTATCGTTGACCTATTTTTTTAAATTAATAACTAGATTTCTTTATAAATATTTATGTTATATATAATAATATAAAAATTTCTTTATAAATTTTATTTTGCGCATAATATTAAAAATGGCGGATTATAAGAAAGTAGTTGATGTAAAACAAGAAAATTTTAAAAGAGACATTAGATCTATACAATTCGTCCATTCCAAGAAGTGTTGTACAAACTTTTGTAGATAAAATGGCTAAAATCATTTCGGAAACTTATGTACCCTTTTTAAAGCAAGAAGTAGAAAAAAAACTGAAATACTACCCTAACTCAATTGTGAACGAAATTTCGATGGTATTTGAAAAAAACAAATATCCCTTTGAAACAGTAGCAACAGAACATTTGCGCTTTGAATTATATAGAAAAGAAGCTTTATACACAGATCCAATCGAATATGTTGTTGGTCAAATAAAAATGCGAAAAAAGTGCAAGTATGGAATTATTCGGCAGACTGTTTTTGTAAAAGGAATCCATATCCCATTAGTTGTTACTTTAAAAACATTTTTTAATTTACCAGGAGTTTTAGATGAAACATTAGATTACCTAAAATTTTTAGAAAATGAGAATCAAATTTTCTCAAATTTTGTGCAAGGTTCCTTTTGGAAAAACAGACCCAAAGTAGATGATCGTTTAGAATTACCCATTTTCCTTTTCTTTGATGATTTTGAAACGGGCAACGCACTAGGCTCTCATGCGGGAAAAAATAAACTCGGTGCAATTTATGCATCAATCCTATGCTTACCACCACACCTAGTTGCAAAAATTAAATGTATATTTTTGGTATTACTATTTCGATCCAAACACAGAACTCTATTTAAAAATTATTCTATTTTGAAACCGCTATTACTTGAACTGAAACATCTTTTTGAACAAGGAATAAAATTTACAATTAATGGAACTGAACGAATTATCTACTTTCGGTTATGCTTAGTTCTAGGTGATAATTTAGGGTTGAATAGCATTTTTAGATTCGTCGAATCATTTAACGCTAAATACTTTTGTCGATTGTGTCATGTTATGTCTGCTGTTTCAAAGTACCTCACAAAAGAAGATCCAACTGTATTGAGAACAAAAGAATCATATGATAAAGATTTGAAATTAGGGGATACTTCATCGACTGGTATAAAAACTAAATGCTGCTTTAACAATATTGCAAATTTTCATGTTGCAACAAATAAATCTGTTGATATAATGCACGATATTTTTGAAGGTGTAGCGTGTTATGTCCTTGTCAAAATATTAAATCAACTGGTTTACACCGATAAGTGTTTTACTTTGGAACTTCTGAATGAAAGAATTGAATGCTTTGATTACGGTGATTTAGAAATGGCAAACAAACCAGTGCATATCGTAGAACAACATTTAAAATTAAAGCAGAAATTAAAAATGTCAGCATCCGAGATGTCATGTTTTGTGCGATATTTAGGAGTAATGCTTGGAGATTTAATCCCTCGCGAAAATGAATCTTGGAATTTATATTTAAAACTTAGACAAATAGTGGATATAGTAACAGCTCCCAGACTTCTCCGTAGTAATACTTTTCGTTTAAAAGAGTTAATAGAAGAACACCACTTGCTGTACATCAAACTTTTTGGACATTTAACACCGAAGTTCCATAATATGACTCACTATCCGGATATCTTGCTTACCAGCGGTCCATTAGTGCACCAATGGTCAATGAGATTTGAATCAAAAAATAAAGAATTAAAGCAAACTGCTACGTCAACTTATTGCCAAAAAAATATTTTAAAAACTATTGCCATTAAACATCAATTGTTAATGGCTCAACTTAATTATTCTCTAATGATCGCAGAAAATATAAAAGTAGGCCCTCGAGAATACTCTTCTGGTTCACATTGCTTATCTAATCAAATTTGCGTTAGTTTTGTTGAATTCGAAGGAGTTAAGTATAAAAGTGGAACAGTTTTTTTAAAAGAAATAACTGAAGATTTACCAGTGTTTGCAAAAATTGATAAAATTTATGTTTTGAACGACGAAATTAAATTTTCTATGTTTACTTTAAAGACCATTGGTTTTGATTCCCATTATCATGCTTATTGTATTTCCAAAAGTATAAGTTCTACTATTTCAAAAGATTTAAAGTCTATGGGTAAAATGACTCCTTGTTTGTTAACAGAAAAAAACAGGCTTATATGTTTCGACAAGGTATGCGCTCTAACTAAAAAATACAATTAAATCTAAAGAATATAATTGTATATTGTATATATTATAAAAAATGTTTGTAAATTAAATAAATAAATACGTTCCATTATTTTTAAATATTATCATTTAAAACCCTTAAATATATAGCAAATTTTAAATAAGTTTTTACTAATTGAAAAAAATTATTATTTTATTTACACGTAATTTTAACAGTTCAAAACAAAATCAATTCTTTTTTATATTAATAATAAATTTGAATTTAATTAAAATTAGTTTTTACTAATTTAAAAAAAATTATTAATTTATTTACACGTAACTTTACTAGTTAAAAACAAATTAAATCTTTTTTATATTAATAATAAATTTTAATTTAATTAAAATTAGTTTTTACTAATTTAAAAAATTATTATTTTATTTACACGTAACTTTACCAGTTCAAAACAAAATCAATTCTTTTTTATATTAATAATAAATTTTAATTTAATTAAAATTAGTTTTTACTAATTTGAAAAAAATTATTAATTTATTTACACGTAACTTTACCAGTTTAAAACAAATTAAATCTTTTTCATATTAATAATAAATTTTAATTTAATTAAAATTAGTTTTTACTAATTTAAAAAATTATTATTTTATTTACACGTAACTTTACCAGTTTAAAACAAAATTAATTCTTTTTGATATTAATAATGAATTTGAATTTAATTAAAATTAGTTATTACTAATTTAAAAAAAATTATTAATTTATTTACACGCAATTTTACCAGTTTAAAACAAATTAAATCTTTCTCATATTAATAATAAATTTTAGTTTAATTCAAATTATAGTTTTTACTAATTTTAAAGAATTATTATTTTCTTTACACGTAACCTTACTAGTGTAAAACAAGTTAATTTGTTTTCATATTAATAATAATATTAATAATATTTATTGCTTTGTACATTAAATGTAATTTTAAATATGTATCATTCGTGTAAATAATTAAGTAATATACATTTTATAAGAAAATATTGTAAGTTTAACAATCTATAAGATTTGTAGAAATCACAAGCTAAAGTTTGTGGCCACACTCATTCTGGTTTGTGTATTTCCCAAACTCAGCCGTTTGTGGATACTACAACCGCGGTCTGTAGATGGCGCAGGAATTCTTGTGAATTTTACAAGAAATTTTTTTCCGTGCACTAATTGCTGATATAGTCGGAATCTTTCATAATTAAAATTCTTTATCAGCATGTAATTTCCTACATTAATATTGAATTATCTTTCACATTTTTTTTCGTGCCTGCCCCCGACCAGAAGCACTCGCTTCGCTCGTGCATCAAATGTCGGGGCAGGCGAATATTGTTTGAAGGAGAGAGTCAGAGAAAAAACCAGAGCTTCACGAGTGTCCGCTAGAGGCGTTGAAGCAAGGAGCAAAAGTAAATAAAGATGGCCGGCTGTCAAATAAAAGAATGAAACACGATTGCAATTTTCTTAAAAAATAAATTAGCGAGCGTACTTTCGACCGTATATAAAGAAAAATAGTATACATTACGTGGGCAGAAATTCGAAAGCCCTAAACTACGCGATGATGCCCTCGGCTTCGCCTCGGGCATCATTTCGCGCAGTGCAGGAATTTCGAACTTTCTGCCCTTATAATGTAATATACTATTCTTAAATATGTTTAACTGTAAAATCATTTGGAACTTAAATAGATTTTTGGAAAATAATATTTAATTATTATCGATTATTTTATTATAGGAAGATTTAAAAAAAGATTCAAATTTCAAATCCTTTAAAATAGAATAATTTTTAAGAATGGCTACTGTAACTTATTAAAAATAATTCTCAAAATTTCAATTTAATTATTTTTTACAAATATTAACAAAAATATTTCTAAAATCCATTTGTTTACAAGACAATTTCATGAAATTTTGAAAAATTTAAAAGTTTTTTAATTACAATCTTTTACAATTTAACTTTTCTAAAACTTTAATTTAAAACGTTTTAAAATGCAATCCATATCATTATTATTAATATTAATTTAATATTCTTAAATATAGAAAAGGTTGTTTATGAATAATATGTTAAAAAACGAATTGATGTTAATGCAACATACTGTTTTTTAAAAATTTATTTTCTAAGAAAAACAATTTTATTTATTTTAATTTTTTATTTACTTTATTCATTACCTATTTAAAAATTAATTTTTATAAATTTCGTATCACTTTTGTTTTAAATAGTTCAAATGTTTAATAATTCAAATTTGCTTTATTACAATATTATTTAAAAAAAATTTTTTAAATTGATTTATTTTTCACTATTTTATAGTATTTGAAATTTTTAATTTTTAAATGTTTTCGACAAATTTAATTAAAATTATATTTTGTTTAATTATTGTTAGAAATAGAAAGAAATTAAATTAAACTTAATAAATTCTTTTTTAAGTAGGTATGTTACTTACGTTGGACAATAAAATTCATAATTTTCTTATAAATTCTAGAAATTGAATATTTTTATAGTACTTTTGATAAAATTCCCTAACAAAATAAAACGATTTTATAGAAGACCAATCAATTTTTCTAATGAAATATAATTAATAAGGCTTAACCCTTTAACGCCCGACTTTTTTGTAGCAGTGCAATTCACGTTATTGCTCGTATATAAAGGTTTTCGGGGTCGCTGAATACGAATTTGAGGTCAGATTTTAAAAATTCAAAATGGCGTATCCAATATGGCGACCATCTTTTCTAAAAATTAATTCAATTTGCCTGAAAATTGTTACTCGGGGGTTTTTGGAAGCGCTAATTACGAATCCGATGTCCTTTTTCAAAATTCAAAATGGCGGATCCAATATGGCGGACATCTTTTCTAAAAACTGATTCAATTTGCTTGAAAATTGTTACTCGAGGGTTTTCGGGGTCGCTGAATACGAATTTGAGGTCAAACTTAAAAAATTCAAAATGGCGGATCCAATATGGCGGACATATTTTCTAAAAACGGATTCAATTTGTTTGGAAATTGTTACTCGGGGATTTTCGGAGTCGTTGATTACGAATTTGATGTCAGATTTTAAAAATTCAAAATGGCGGATCCAATATGGCGGACATCTTTTCTAATAATTGATTCAATTTGCCTAGAAATTGTTAGTAGGGGGTTTTCAGGGCCGCTGTTTACTAATCCAATGTTAGAGTCTATGTTAGGCAATTGTTTTTCTATAGTCACGAATGTAAACGAACATTTAATTTTGACATCGTTTTCTCATTAAGCATTTGTTTATCGCATTGTCACAAATGTAAATTCATATTTTATTCGGATCGCGTTCTCATGTTAGGCTTTTGTTTTCCGATTTTCACAAATATAGTCAAGCATTTTAGATTGATTTCGTCTTTGCGTTAGGCATTTGTTTTTCTGATTATTACGAATATAAAAATGAATATTTCATTAATCATTATGATGCCGGTTTTGCGTTAGGCATTTGTTTTTCACATTGTCACAAAGGTAGACGAACATTTTATTCTGATCTCGTTTTTATTTGGACATTTTATACACTAAATTGAAACCGCTATTTAACATTTTAAAAAATTAAAATCGTAATCAGCGACCCCGAAAACCCCCGAGTAACAATTTTCAGGCAAATTGAATCAGTTTTTAAAAATGATGTCCGCCATATTGGATCCGCCTTTTTGAATTTTTAAAATCTGATATCAAATTCGTAATCAGCGACCCTGAAAACCCCCGAGTAACAATTTTCAGTACCTTTGTTTCCTTTTATTTTCGAATTTTTAATTTTGTTGCAAATTTTGCAACAAATATTTTTTTGTTATTATTGTTGTAATTACAAAATTGTTAATTATTTTTTAAAATGTAAATTTTTTTCATAAAGGTTTATAAATTTGTGGGTCGTGAGCGTTTAGAAATCAAAAATATCTTAATTTTTGTCAAAGTTATAGATTTTAGAAATCAAAAGTGGTTTCGATCGAAACCGCTGGGCGTTAAAGGGTTAAAATAAATATTTCTATTTTTTCTCACAAAATAATCAGTGTTTTAAAAAAAATTCTAAAATCCCGGTCAAGATCAAAATTCACTGTCATTTTTCGGTTTTCCCGGTCCAGCGGCCATCCTGTACTTTCACTTTGGATTTATCTTTTGGATTTTTTGTCCTGGTCAGAAAGTCCAAAAGAAATTAAAAAACCAATGAAAAAATTGAGATATAAAAATTTAAATGGTTGCCTTGAATGAAATTGTCCTTTCTTTTGAGTTGCTTATTTCGATGACTTTGAATCGAAAGTAGATAAACTTAACATTTTAAATTTCTGAAAATAATTAAATTATTGAGCAATTGAATTAGAATTATATTAAAAAAAATGTGTACTTTTTGTTAAGAATTTTATCAAAATTGTTGAAAATAATTGTATATTTCTTGGAATAATTGTTTTAAAAATTTTATAGAATAATTGAAATTTTTTTATTTACGAAAATAATTGAATTTTTGTAAAGATTTTTTTTATTTATGAAAATAATTGCATTTTTGTGAAGATTTTTTTTTATTTATGAAAATAATTGAATTTTTGTAATAAATTTTATTATTTATGTTAATAATTGAATTTTTGTGAAGAATTTTATTATTTATGTAAATAATTAAAATCCTGCGATTTTAACATTAACATTTTAAGGTTATGTTATTCAGTGGTCACGTGCCCCATATACTTTACTAAGGAAAAACGTCACACTGAATAACATGACCTTAAGTCTCGATTTTATAGCGTAAAAAGTAAAAACGTGGCTTTTTCACATGTTTCATAATTTATTTTGGATTTTCTGACATTGGATATTTTTATTTTGGATTTTTTGTACTATGGACTTTTTTTCTTGAATTTTTCGGTCTGGATTTTTTGGATTGGATTTTTTGTCCTGTAACCAATATATTCTACTCTATTTCTTATCTTTTAACAGATATGTTAATATTTAAAGAAGAAAAATGATAGAAAATTGTTTCTTCGAAATTCTCGCGCTTGAATAAACAATACGTCGAATATAAGACATGACCGAAAGTTTAATGCAAGGAGAATTAAATCACAGTAATGACACTGAAGACAAAGGAGTAAATATAAGAAATATAAAGAACGAAATTGACCAATTTGATGTAAGCATTAATAGTACGTCGAATATAAGACTTGTGGCCGAAAGTTTAATGCAAGAAGAATTAAATCACAGTAATAACACTGAAGACAAAGGAGTAAATATAAGAAATGGAAAGAACGAAATTCAACAATTTGATGTAAGCATTAATAGTACGTCGAATAAAAGACTTGTGGCCGAAAGTTTAATGTAAGGAGAATTAAATCACAGTGATAACAATGAAGATAAAGGAAATATAATAATTGGAAAGAGCGAAATTGAACAATTTGATGCAAGCATTAATAGTACATATTTTTGTTTTATAATAAATTAAGCGAGGGTTTTATCAGTCTTAATGAAATATTAATTGGAAGCTATATTTTCGGATTTTAAACTACAAACGATTTCAATATGAAACTTTTTTCAAGTTAAATAATTTCCTGGTATCATAATTTTCTTGTCGATTTCCAATCAAGAAACGTTAAATTCTTTTTAACCTGACAGAATTTAGGTGCATTGGTTATCATAGGTTTGCTTTTTTTCTTGTTTAATATTTCCAATTCATCTTCTCTGGCTTATTGGATATTTCACTGATCGATTTTAAAAATGCACCTTTAATGTTTGGTGTATAATATACTATTACAGTACTTTAAATTTTAATAAAATATATTATTTTAGTGTGCAGATTTCGTGAGTAATGAACCAGCTATCACTGAAGAAGGAATAGTAAGAGATTTTTCTCAAGATGATAATTATGAAACAAATGCAGAATGTAGTCAAAATGAAGTAGAGAAGTTATTAAGGAAGAAAGAAAAATTGTTAGAAAAAAATAATGATCGAGATAGTTTTGATGCACCCTTTTTTAATGAAACATCACCAGTTAAATTAACAAGTACACCACTTCATAACACTCGCAGTAATAAAATATATTTTCCAGATAAAGTTTCTGACATTTGTAGTAATAAAGGTTTAGAAATAGTCCCCGGAAATGAAAAATTTAATGAAAGTATGTCAGTATCATTACTAAAATAGACATAAATTTAAACTTTTCAGCAAAAAAACAATTTTTTATGAAGAAGGTCCAAAGTAATCTATTTGTTAATTAACATTCTTTGCAACAATTTAAATAAATTGCATTATGCATTATTAACTGTCCGGTGGTCATACTAGACTAATTTAAATTGATTTCGATCATGTGCAATGGAAAACTAAAAAATAAACATGATTTTTTCTAAAAATATTGAAATTTGTTAACTTTTTGAGTAACAGGAAACAAATAAACAATTAAAAAATCAAAAATCGACTTTGATGGATCTCTTAGTAATTTTAGACCATTAAAATCGCAACATTTGATAAAATTTGTAGTTTCTAAACAATTTTCAATAGTAAATTGTAAAAAAATCCCACTGTGCATCGCGCTGGATGCGCGAGCGGACGGACAAATTTTACTTATTACACTATATCTTTGCCAAATTTTTTCGGACAATTTTCAGACTTATATTTTCTATTTGGGGAAATCCCAAGCTGAAATTTCAACTCCCCACCCTTTTGATAGGGGTGGGGGTTAGACCTGTAAATTGGTATATTAACTAGTACCTACTAGGGTAACATTCATATTTCCAAAGTATAAAAGAAAACCAAGAACTTTTTTTTATTTTTGGGGCAGTTCAGGAATAATGCCTCATTTAGCAAATCGAATTTATAAGTTTTGACGTCATTTTTGCGGCTTTAGTCACTTCTATGCGTGACGCCAGATTGTCGCTTATGTGGTTAATTTAAGTGCAGCTTTGTCAGATTAATATTAAAGTGGAATAAACGATTTGAAAACTAATGTTATTAAATTTTAATGACATTTATTTATTTTTTTACAAACTCTTTATACGTTTGACAGTCCAGATGTCTTTTTTACCTAAATTTCATGAGAAAATATTCCCCAGTTCAGTAATTTAGTTTTTTAAATTTTGTTTTAAATATCTTTTTCTATTTTAATTTACTACGTGATGTTTTGAAAATATGATAAATCTCACTATTGACTATATTTTAAATTCAAAAGATTCCAATATAATTTAACGTTTAAACTTTTTGAGATTTATAAGTTGATATAAATATTTTCCATTAAAATTCAATATTATTAAAAAAATTTCTCTTTAAAACTATTCTATTGTATATAGGTAATTAAACATGATACATTAGTCTAAGAAGAGAAAAAAAAGAAAATGTTGCTTTTAATATTCCTGAGAAAGTTTTCATATTCATTGGCATCAATTTTCCTGCGCTCAAAACAAATGGTATTTCAGTTATCATTAAAATAAAGTACAAGTCTTGAGATAAGTTTTTTGGGAAATTATACCATGAAATTTCATATGTAGCAATTGATAATTTCTTTATTCTTGAAGATAACATTTCTCCAGCATATGCATATAGAAATAATTGGACCAATAAAAGTTCTGAAGCAAAAATTGGTTTTATGCCACCTATTAATCCATACATTTGAATATTGACTAGTCCTTGAATTCCTAAAACAAAATTTTTTTATCTTTAAATAAAACATGTGTGACAATGGTTTTAGAAATAAAAGTTAAAAGTATAAATTTTAATTATATTTTTAAGTCCACAGTTAATATTATTGAAATTTCATTTTAGATTACTGGATGTAAAATCATATTTATCCCACATACACAAAAATTTTCATGAAACATGGTTCCTAAATGTTTTTTGGGTCGCTGATTACGAATCTGAGATCAGTTTTCAAAAATTAAAAATGGCGGATCTAATATGGCGGAGAGAAAGTTAAAAAAATGAATGGTTTTAATGAAACATGGTTCTCAAATGTTTTTTGTTTCGCTGAGTACAAATATTAAGTTATCATTTTTAAATTAAAAATAGCAACTCTAAAATATCGAACGAACTTTTAAATAAATAAGTAAAATTTTTGATTTTTTCGAAAATTTGAAGGGGGTAGAGGGGGGTCAATTTGACCAATTTTGCTAACACCGACTACTTTGTGAATTTTTTCTGAACATACTTGTAATGGCAAAAATTTTTTAGAATATGTTTCTGAAAGGTTTTTTCGTTCTTTTTCCAATGGTATATTTTATTTTTTAATATTTTAAAAATTTACCCTAATTTTTGATAATTAATATTTAATTTTCAATTTCTCAAAAATCGGTCCGTTTTTTTTAAAATAAATTATTGCAAAGGAAAGCTGAGGTTTTTTCCTATCGGCATGTAAATTTTCAGAATGCCCTTTTTTTGTTTTTGAGTTATTAAATTTCAAATAATAAATTGCGTCCCGGGCGCCTCGTCTCACGCCGGTTGCCACGCGGCTTAGTGCAACCGCATATTTTTTTAATTTTTCAAAAGAATCTCGTCTGTTTATAATTATAATTAAAAATTTGACTAATTCAATTATATTAAAATATATTGATGTTGATTGATAAGATATTATTATATATAAGCCATATAAGCTTATATGTAATAAAATAATAATAATTATAATAATAATATATTATATATATTATATATAATATGTAAAAATCTGGCACCAGATTAGTAATCAACGACCCCATAAACCCCCTGAGTAACAAGTTTCAAACGATTTATTTAATGGTTTAAAACTTGAAATAGTAATTCTGTACCAGAAAGACACCTTAAATGTATATTAAAATTAAGTAATTTGAAATAAAAAAATTACCGTAAGAGCAAATTCCAGTAATATTAACTATAAGTTGTAATAGAATCATAAAGTTGAAGGTCTCTTCTAAACATCGTGCTTCAGACCACAAAAGTTGATGTTTCTCTACTAATTTAATGATTTTTGTTTTCATCTCTTTAACATCAAACTTTTCTTCGAATTGTGCAATTTCCTCATATAAAATTTCTAACTGTCCACTAACAAGCATTGACAAATTAAAAAAAAATATATCTATTCCAACGTTTCCAAATGCTGTTGTAATCAATTGAAGACTTTGCATGAAACTAATTATCAAATATGAACTTGTAGAAACATTCATAAAAAGGCACTTGGTTTGCACTGGAAAACCTCGATTAATAATAATTTTATTTGTGCTACTGTTATTTATGGAGATATCAATATTTTCCTTGCCCGATATTGCCAAACTTGAAAGAATTTCTAATGAAATTATCGTAGTAGTAGAAATTGATTGAACGTAAAATACAAAATTTCCTCGTTTCACATACTTCATCATAACATTTTTATACCTTGTCTCTTTTATCAAACTCATGTCGTCACTCACTGTGCAAAGGATTTTCGCCAGATATTTTCGATGATATCTAAGAGACAAAACTTTTAAGGCTGCTATTGTTCCTAATTTTTGGAACTCAATGAAGTCTATTCTTTCTTCTGAGGTACAGCATCCGTAACTTATTTCTAATGTAACACTTATAACCAAACTCATCTATAAAAAGTTAAAACATTAATTGTGTTAATTATTTCTTCTTTTCATATTTTTATTTTATTTATTTTCAATAAGTTTGTTTTCTCGTGGAGGAAGCATTGTAGGCCTTAGATATATGTATAAAATTTTGTGAATACGATAACTTAAAGTGAAGGGAGGATCTCTCCCAGCATTGCTAGTCAAAATAACAACCATTTAAGTTTTCAATTGAACTACTTTATTTATTAGTACTTCATTAGTACTAACGCAACGCTTGAAAACAATGCATATGGGCAAAATTCCTCAACTGTCCAGGTTAAAAAAATGAATTTTCTCGAAACTTTATTAAAATGTTCCTATTATAAGTAGAATTGTAAATATGAATCATTATTAAATTTAATAAAATATTTTTGGAGTTACGGAGTTTCCAAATTTTGACTTTTTTGAAAATATA